TCCTGCCCTGCCTTCACAGCTCCCACTTTCACACTCACAGTCATCCTGAGAGAGAGAGAGAGAGAGAGAGGTATGTACACAAGCAGCGTGTCACCCTTTGCATATGGCACATTTATTTCAGGAAAGAGTAAGAACAGCAACGCAATGTGCTCACTCTCCACACGCCTCCAAATGACCACCCACCACATCCGCACCAGCGAAGAGGTGCAGCGTGCAGTGGACCTGCAGAGCTGCTGCTCTGTGAGACGTGTCCTCTGCCACTTAATGCTTTCACACACATGTACGACTGAATTTGTCGGACGGTATTTTTAAACTCTCTGACCTCCACATTTTTCAGAGTCGTGAAAGACAAGCTGTTTGCCTTTGGCCTTTGACCTCTGTGAGGACCAACAAAGATAGCCCTGCGCCCTATGTGACAACTAGATGTGTGTTTGTCTGCTCTTACTATTATTGCCTCTGCAGCAGCCTCGTGTAATCTCTGCGTCCTGGCTGCAGGGATTTGTCGGGATTAAATTTTTTATAACAGCTGCTAGAATTTGTTTTAAACTCTGAGTGACGTTTGCAGTCGTATAGAGTTGATATGAGGGATTCCTAATTTGGTGACCGAGGTGATAACGACCAGCGTTATTTATTTATGACCTCTAACTTGTGGGCTTCAACAGCCGCTCCCTCACATACATATCTGTATTTAAACACAAACTCGAATGGTAACATCTTATTTTCCCTCAGATACTTTGTCACGCTCAGAACTCGGGAAAGTTTTATGCTTGTAAATTTAAAACAGTGATAGTGAAAGAAGGTGTTTTATCACATAGCAGATCAGACAAAGCTGGTTTAGAATTAGATTTTTTAAAGTTTGGACACTTATACGTGTTTGAAAAGATGAACAACACACTGACTATAAGGTTTTATTCTTATTAAAATCACAACAGTTGATGTTTGGAGTTTGAATGGACTTCAGTGGTGGAGGAAGTATTCAGATCCTCTACTTAAGTAAAAGTACTAAAACCACACTGTGAAAATACAATTAATACAATTAAAAATCCTGCATGGAAAATGTAATTTAAGTAAAATCAGGACAATTCTCACATAGGTAATTTTTTAAAAACTTCGTACGGAACTACAACTCATGATTTCATCATTATCGATTAATTTGCTGATTATTTTCTTGATTAATCAACTTTGATTTGTGAAAATTCTGGAAATGGTCAGAAACCAAACCAGAGCAGCAAATCTTCCCATCTGAACGCTGGAACCATGAAATGTTTGGTATTCAAAAACAAGGTACAATGCAGGAACAAACTGTATGAAGTGGTGATCAAGTTCAAGATGGGATAAAAAAAACAATCAAAATAGGATTAAAAACCTGTGCTGCTGATGAAAGGTCAGCTGGTCACTAGAGTTAATTACCATCCTCCAGTGAGCAAATGTCTTCATGCTAATGTGACCTGTATTTGCTCGGATATGTGCTCTTGACCAAAGTGATGGACAGAATGATTAACCTCATCATCTCCACTTACAACGCAAAAAGCTCTTCAATCAAACTAATCAGATTGTGTGGAGTTAAATAACATTGCTAATGCATTTTGTTTGGATAGATAGATTGATATATATGATTCTGTAGATCATATGTGACTATTAGAAAAATCTGTTTGCAGACTATTAGAAAAAGGAAACAGAGCCGGTGGCAGGTTTTCAGATATATGCAGATGATACAGTCATATATGTCTTCAATAGAAGACTGTAAATGCCATGAAAAAGCTTCTATGACATAGAGTTTAATACATCCCATGGTGTTTTACAGCAATCGAGCCTCTTATGATGGATGATACATAATCGAAGAATTAATCATTTGGACAGGCATTCTGCATATGACAATAAAAACTCTTGAACTCATTTGAACTCTTGAACTTGAAAGTAACTAAAGCTTTAGAATAAATGCAGTGGAGTAAAAACTAGCCTACAGTATTCAGAAATGTATGTAAATGTATAAAACACCATAAAATAGAATTAGCCCACACAAAAATGTAATATATGACATGTATGTCCTTATATCAAGAGTGATATTTCCATATATGTCAACTATAAGGGGATATATTATTATCATATATATGCATCCTCTGGATATGTAAAGATATATGTTTTTTAAGTACAATTTGTACATTTATTAAAAATATCTATATGATGAATTTTATTTGATATAACATATTTGTTAAGGATATATATTTAATTTATAAATGAGTGCTTATTGAAACAACATACTTTATAACTTTTAATATAAATGTAAAAAGTTATAAATGTTTTATTAATTTTATCAATTTTATACATTCACACATTTACATATCTTTTGTATTTACTGTATATACATTATATCAACATATATTGACAGGATTTGCAATGTATACATATATTACATATGTCTACAATATACAATACAAGCATGTATATGTGTGTGTGTGTATATATATATATATATATATATATATATGGAAATTTATTATATGTGCATATATTACATTTGCATATGGGAGTCAAGTAAAGTAGAAGTACCTAAGACTGTACTTAATTAGAGTGCTGGAGTAAATGTACTTAGTTACTTTGTGTGTCAAAGCCAACAGAAGAATTAATTGAGTAAAGTTGATCCAATTTGTTTTAACAGTGTGATCATGTGTCATTAGAGTCAAGGGAAAGCCGTCGTGAGTCTGTAGGTTTGGAGCTTGAGTACATTTCCACTGCAGCTGGCCCTTTAAAAAACACATCTTGGCATTGAGGGTTGAAAAAAGTGTGAATGAAATCCAGCCATTCATAAATATAGGCCCCTGCCGCGCTGTGATTGGCCAAACCGCGGCTCCTGCATAATTCATGAGCTGCGGAGACGCCACTGGCTCCTCGCTTTAACGGACGTGCCGTCTCAGCCAATCGGCGCGCGGCTCCGCGTGCCGCTGGAGCCCAGGGGAAAAACCGACCGGGCCATTAACGAAAAGCTCAGTCAAGTTTTGTGAGTCGAAGGAGACACATCAGTGTGTCAGCGCGCAGACGAATACACGACTATCGACACGTTGGGTTTTTTTTTTTTTTTTATTTGTGGATATTTCTACTGCTTTTTCCCGCTACAGAGGACGTTTACACACACGAACAAGGTAAGCTGCAGGACTTCTTTCGACGGGAACTTGCGCTTTGCTTTTCTTTTTTTTTTTTGCGAAGCTTCGCTGTGGCTGGTTGTTTTTCTAACGTTGTTTTTTAGACTGCAAACGAACGCAACGCCATCTTATTTTAAAGATATTTACTTTGGCAACCATTTTAAATCGGCTCCTATCTGAGTGAAATGTCGTATTGAAAGCCCAGCGCGTGCTGTATTTGGCTCTTTATTTATCTGCGTGCTTGTTGGCTGTGGCTTATCAGCGCGGTCAGGCGACTGTTTGTGATTTTTTTTTTTTTTTTTTTTTATGAATGGACGGGCCATTTTTTTTTTTTCCTCCCTCTGTGTTTCCACACGGATCGAGTTTCACTTCATTGAGAAAAACAAGGGAGGGATGGGGTGGGGGAAGGAGGAGCGGGGGAGGGGTGGAGGAGGAGTGGTGGGGGGGGGGGCAAGCCAGGCAGGCAGCAGGATGGCTCTCTGCCGCACAGGATTTGAATATATATCTCGCGGCGCCTCCCCCCCCCCCCCCAGACGCAAAAGTTTTACCGAGATTTAGCAAATTTTTGTTTACAAAACACAATAACTCAAGTTAAACTGTGACCTGCGAAGCTGAGGTGAAAATTAAAGTTCAGCTGTAATTTTGTGGTGAACTTCATGTAGTTTTTTTGCATTTTATTTTTTAGTTAAAACCTAATTATAATATTATAATAATCTATGCAGTTGTCATATTTCATTAGTAGGTCATTACTGTTATAATAAAGTAACTTTACCTCATATTTAAATACACATATCCCATCTTGCAAGTCATTATACTACTACGTGTGAACGGTGGGTCAGAGTAGAGCCGATTAAATAGTCGGTGTTAATTTTCTACTGCAGATTGACGTGTTGTGTTAATATAAACTCCACATGAAGACCTGCACATTTGAGGCTCTAATGTTGTAAGTGGCGTCTGTAATTATTGCCCAGCGGCTATTCTTCATTCGTCATCCATTAACAGGAGATAGAGGAGTGAGTCATATCACTCTGCTGAGGGAGATGTAACAATAGAGGCAGAACTTGTTTTTCTTCAAGTTGAGTTATTGTTGTTTTAAAGGGAACCCCCCCCCCCCTCCTTTTTTGTTTGTTGGGAGTGTTTATAACTTGATCAAGTTGTGCACAAGGGGAACAGGCAGTTAGGTTCAAGCCTCTATAAGACACTAATCAGCTCTATGACATGACCGGCCCTTTTTTTCTTCCCTATCTTGTTTGGGAGGCTTTGCGTTGTAGAGCACGCCACAGCAGACTCTTTCCAAGTCTTTTTCTCACTATCTCCAAGCTGATTATAGTGGAAAAGTAGTGCCCGCAGATGGCCAGCGAGTGTAGCTTATATAACTGTGTTACATGTATTCTGTAATGACCGTGTGTTTACACTGTGCTCCGCATCAAAGAGCTGTTTGTTGGTTAAATAAAAAATAAAAAAGAAGGACCGAGAGAAGACGCCGGCCTTGTTGCAGCATCAGAATATCTGATGCGGAGGAGCAGTTGTGCTGCTGCATAAACACATTGTTATACAGTGAAGCCCAAGAGGCAATATGACTTCAACAAATAGAGGACTCAATATCCCTCTTACACAGTTAGTGCTTGTTTAATAAGGATTAAAATGACATTAAAGAGGCTTAAAGTGACATGTTTATTATAAACATTAATGCTTCTTGTAGTGTAAGCGTGAAATTGACTTTCATGACCCTTTGATTTATGTTTACTCTCCTGATCTTTTCCAGTGACCCACACAGTGACCCCCAGGCGCTGTCGCTTTACAGCGAACACCCCCCCTCCCCCACCCCCCCCAATAGTGAGCCCCCCCCCCAATCACCCAGATAACATGGACGGATTCTACGACCAGCAAGTCCCATTTATGGTCCCACCCAGCGTAAGTGGACACACGCCAGCCTCACGTGTCACATCACATCCTCCTCACGCTACCATCAAAACCATGGCTGCACCATATGGATGCGGTCATCGTGTACATTTGTTGTACACTTGCAAACCATCAGGAGAGCAGTGACGTCTTCTGTTGATGTTCTCACATTTCTTCTTCTTCTTCTTCTTCTCCTCCTCCTCCCAACAGCACAAGTCTCACGTGGAGGAACCATCTCACAGCAGGCCGCTGAACGACAGGAAAAGGAAATTTGTCGACACAGAACTCGCCCAGGACACAGAAGGTAACTGACATGAATGAACCGGATGTATCGATGTAATTTAACTTGTAATTCAGATGCACAGTTAGATTGGTGGGGACCTGTACTCAATGTTTGTTTTCTACTTCCTGGTTTCCAGAGCTCTTCCAAGACCTCAGTCAGCTGCAAGAGATCTGGATTGCAGAAGGTGAGCTTTATATTTATTTTATTATATAACAGTTTCATTTTAATGTCCAGTATCCTTCCACTACATCCAGCCGCTTTGGACCTTTGCTTCTAAACGGCGAACATGATGAAATTGGGCAAAGTTTGAAGATGAAAGATTAACCCGACGAGAATGTGAAATACTGCAATTTTTAAGTTAGCAATTAGAGCAAGAAGAGCAAAGTCCTGTGCATGAGAAACTGCTGACCAGGACCCTCTTAGTGTTGCCTAAACGTAGCTTTTAGCAGCTGCTCATTTTCTCCTTCTGTTAGATTACATTCTCTCTTTTCCATCGTTTCACCCCTTTATCCACACTTTGTTTTTTGTTGTTTTTATTCCTCTCTCACGTGGCGTTCTCCTTTATCTTCACAGCCCAGGTGCCTGATGACGAGCAGTTTGTCCCAGATTTCCAGTCAGATAGCTGTGAGTACCTGGTTTCTGCTGTTCATCTCTTGATTATTGAGAGTCTGTGTGTGTCCCCTGTAAACCCTGGCCGTGATTAGGACGTTTTTATCCCAGCCTGGTTCCTGCCTCTGATTTGGGCAGAGGTTCAAATAACAGTGGCTGAATATCAAGCTGTTTTAGCAGCACTGCATCAGGGATTTTTCACCCGGTAAAGACTTTGAAAGGCGTCTTTTTCCTTATTCTTCTTTTGCGATGTCGTCTCTGATGAAATGTCTTAGGTCACCCTTCCTTTTCCATCAGAGCTTCTTCATCCTGCCATTATTCGTCTTCAAAACACAGCTCTGGGAAAGGCTGCTCTCCCTCCCTCCCTCCCTCCCTCTCTCCTCCATTTTGAGTTTAATCAGCCGATTGGCATGGGGCATCACATGAGCCAAGCTCCTAATCTGATTTCACACTTTCCCGCACTCAGGCCCTGCTGCTGAAGTGGGCTAGATTCCAGTGGATAGAGCAGCTTCAGAGCTGCCTGTTTCAGCTCCTGCTCCCCAGCACTAACATCCCCGAGACTGTCTCGCACCGCGTCCTCCAACCTGCTCCTCGCAGCCTCCTGTTGGTCTCTGCACATCGCCTTTAGGCTGCAGCTGAGGGATATATTTGAATTATACCCAATGGAGCATTTTATGCCCCCTCCCCTCTCCCCTCTGTCTTTCAGAGTTTATGTTTTTGTCTGATGCGTGGGAGGTGGAGACAGGGTGTGGTTGCTGCTTCTCTTTGTCAGGGCTGCCTCTTAAATCTTGGTTAATGTGGCACAGCGAGCTGCAAACTGACCACAAGGCTGCACCGCCTCAACGTATTATTGAAGCCGGTGCATCCGCATGTATTTATTTTTTTTTTTTTCTCCCAAGGTTGTGTGCAAACGTAGGTTTATGTAAAGCGCAGTCGCGGTGCAGTCGGTGACCTTGTCCTGTCAGTACGCTGTGTGTTTGCGTATTCACCAGTTTTCCAATATGAGATACAGTCAGTTGGGCATCACACACACCCAGGCCTGAACTACATGTAACTTTCTCTGGAGTGGAGGAACAGTGTTAAGTTTGAAGGAGAGAAGTTGTGGGTTCGTGTTCATTAATTCCCCCCCCCCTCCTCCAGCCCACAGTAAGAAAAGATGCCTAATCTCCCCATTATTTACTTTTCTCTCTGTGTGAGGAGTCTCACTCGAGCCATTAGGTTTCACAGCGCACACAGGGGAGCTCACGTGCCCATTGTTAGCCCTCCTTAGGTCCATCAGCACCCTGGGTGATTTATTTGGCTCCCGCTCCTCTGCGCCCGGGGATCTAGTTTCTGCCCGGCTATTATGTGGCGCCCCGGAAACTGCCACTGATACGCGGAAAGCTGCAGCCAGTGTCTAATGGTTACAGCACGGGAGAAGAAAATCATTCACCGCCATTAGATTACAGCCACACTGATTCATGGGTATTGGTATTGCTTTGCCCTAATGGGAATCAGACGAGGGGTTTGATAGCTTTCGTGTGTGCGGTGCAGTTAGTATCATGCTACCTAGCAGTGGCGGACGGATGGCTGTTTTCAGAGTGCAGAGTCAACCGTCATTAGTGGCGGATGATAAATAGCTGCTAAGTGGCTCTGTCAGTCGGGGGAATACACAGACGCTGTCCATGCATCCATTTATCCATCAGGTCCAAATGTTGTTAAGATAACTGCTGCACTTCTGTTTATAGCTTCAATCGGCTGATATCTGGAGTTTATCTAATGCACTCAATTGTGTTGTTCCTGTGTGTGTCTCCGTCCGTCCAGTGATGTTTCATGGCCCGCCACCAGCCAAGATCAAACGAGAGCTGACTCGCTCCAAAGAGCTTTCTCCCTGTCGCCAGGACAGGAGTCCCATGCCCTACGGAGAGAAGTGCCTTTACAGCTACAGGTATGTCGCGGCTCGGCGGCGGCGTGTTGATTATCCCGCTCAGATCAAAGGAGTCCTGGCTTCTCATGTCGACCCTCTCTTCCTCTGCAGTGCCTGCGACAGGAAGCCCACTCCAGGGTTCAAGCCATTAACTCCCCCCTCGACACCGGTCTCTCCTTGCGGCCCCACCAGCACCGCAGGAACACACCCACTGAGCGAGCAGACTCCCCCTCCCCACCCCCATGTAGCTAACCCGACCCCAGGGCCGCGTCCCGTGCACGTACAACAGCCTGTAACGGCGAGTGCGGGCCCCCCCAACCAGCAAGCACTCCCAGTCCACAGCCACAGCCCGCCCTTCGCCGTGCCCTGCGCACCCATCAGCCAGGATGCCAACAGCTTCACACCTGAGCACAGGTGAGCACACGCCTCTTCATCTGGTCGCTTCAAGTGTTTTCATTTAGTGTATTTGTGAACAGCATCTCATCGTCTGGCCACTCCCCCCCCCCCCCTCCATCTTTAGGTTCCAGAGGCAGATGTCAGAGCCATGTCTACCTTTCCCCCCATCAGAGAGTCAAGGACGCCCCCACTTCCTGCCCCAGCCTCCCAGCGCCAACAACAACAGTCTGCCACGCGACGGGCGGCCGCCGTACCACCGGCAGATGTCAGAGCCGCTGGTGGCCGTGCCTCCCCAGGGTTTCAAGCAGGAGCTCATCGACCCACGATACACCGAGCAGGGCGTCCCCACCATGGGCCCCCCAGGTGCACCCCCGGGGCCTCCGTGCCAGGCTGCTTTCCACCCCATGGCCATCAAGCAGGAGCCCCGGGACTTCTGCTTCGATTCTGGTGAGTAGCCGAGTGTTTGTTGATAAAATAAGTTGAGAAGAGCCCGTCGCGTCTCAGGAAGTCCCTGTGAAAGTAAAGGTCCAGGGCTGAGAGCAGAGTAGAGCAGAGCAGGCAGAGGGTGAGGAATGTACCTGGGCCATGTTTGTTCTGGGCGCTAACACACGCCTGTGAGTTTTACACACAGGTGCTCAATTCACACGCACACACACACACTCTCAAATCTTAATCTGCATCATTTTCTCCAGAGTCACGGCAGCAAAAGTAAAAGTGGGTCTTTTTAGCTCAGCGTAAGCCTCCAAGGGCAAAAAGTAAGTGGGTCATGCAGCCAGGTGCACAGAACCTCTTCACTGAGCCTACCTGGAATAGATCTAGGACAGCGCCCTCGCAGGACTTAGTGACCCGCAGCGCAGCAAGTTGATTTTAAGCGCCTGGAAAGTCTCTGCTTGGGGGGTTTTTTACAGAATACACGAGGGGCTGAATGGTGCCAGTCCTCCTCAGAAAAAGAGCCTCTTTCAAACAGCCGTGGCAGAGACGCTGTTTACTCACATGGTGCAAATCAAACAAGCCGGAGAGACTGTCGGAGCATTGTTTGATCCCAACGCCCACACGCCCAGCTGTTGTCCCTGCTCTGCTGCATTTACATCCTCTTTTCCTGAAACTCTGCAACATTCATTTATTTTTTTTTCCCCCCATCTTTCCTCTCTCACTCTCATATACTCTTTCTCTCTTCTGCCTGTTGTACGACCGGCTGGCTGGTTAGTGATGTAATGACAAATCCTCTTAGCTTCTTATGGCCTTTAAATACCTACGTCACAGAGGCCATCGCATCTCTATACGGATGGAAGATGTGTGTGTTCAGCACTCTGACATGGGGCACATTGTCACCCCGGCGTTGGTCTGTCTGCAGACGGTGCCACGACCATTAATGCAGACACAAAGCCACAATTTGAATCCGTGCACAATCAGCACTCGGCGGGGGAGGAGTCTCCAAAGTCTTTCCTTTTGACTCCCTCTTTCTTTTATCTGCCTGCGTGGTGAGACTTAACGATTACCTCCTGCAGGCTCTCTCTCCTAAGTGAGGACAAGAGGAGTCAGAGCCTGGAGGAAACACTTGCTCAAGATTGATCTGTGGTCGTCTTATCAGTGCACAGGAAATGGAACGATGGGGTGGTGGTGATGGGGGGGGGGGTTGGTGGGAACTTTCAGCGATGAGACACAGCAAACACAAGACAGGCCCTTGACCCCCACTGAAGGGGTGGGTGGGGGGGATGGGGGGGGGGGACTGGCGTAACTTGATTGTCATTGAGATTTAATACAGCAACCGTGGTGCTAATCCCATTTAAGGGCTTGGCGGACATGCAAAGGATGTGTGCTGTGCAGTGTACTCTGATCTGGGCTTTGGTCCACTCCTCTGTGTGTGTGTGTGTGTGTGTGTGTGTGTGTGTGTGTGTGTGTGTGTGTGTGTGTGTGTGTGTGTGTGTGTGTGTTGATGAACATGGTCCACTGGTTGGACAGAAAAGCAGCCACCATGAGTTCTGACCTTTTATTTCCATACTGTATATTTATCAATGTGACCTAACTCACTAATATAGCTGCAGATACCATATCAAAGCTTTATGTATCTCTGCGCACAGTGGCAGGGGTCCAAATATATCTGTCAGCTGCGAAGTGGATCTCCGTGCATTGCACATTTGATATGACAGTGAGGATGTCTGGTCTAAATTTATGCGCCCATCTTCTTTGTTTACAGAAGTGCCTAACTGTCAGTCATCGTTCGGGCGAGCGGGGAGCTTCTACCAGAATAACCATGAAAGTAAGTTCACGTTATTGTCTTGCTTTTCATGTCTTCCGTGTTTAGATTAAACCATTAGTTTCTTCGTGACCCTGAGACTTTCCGACTTATCGAGCTGCAGCAGCAGCAGCAGCAGCATTGAAATGAAATGACAGCTCAAGGGGAAGCGAATGTATCAGCTGCTCCACACATACAGCACCTCTCTCTCACATCAGCAGCTGGCTCAGGCTCTGCACAATACAAGCTTCCACTGTTTGGAAGCTGCCCAGTTGTATTGCTTTGCATGCAGTTTGAATCTCTGGGTTCATATGAGAACAAAAGCCTGTTTCCCACGCTCTATCTGCTGCTTCACTTTCATCTCACTCATGTTGCTTCTCTTTCTTTTCTTTTTTTTTCCCCCCAATTTCAGGCTTTTCCTTCGACAGAGATCCTCAGCTGTACTTTGATGATACCTGTGTGGTCCCTGAAAGATTAGAAGGTAAGAGCAATTAGGAACAAGGTTAGAGCAGAAGTATTGGATATTATTTGTCCATGAAGTGGTCTGCTGTGAGCTTTCTGAGGCAGGAGCTCATGGTGAACAGCGAGTCCACTTCACAGTCACCATCTGGCAGGAATGTCTCACCACACTGTGGCCGTGACTGACACTTCTTCTTTTTCCCCTTCTGCCATCTCTCCTCCTGCTCTTTCCTTCTTCTTCTTCTTCTTCTTCTTCTTCTTCTTCTTCTTCTTTCACTCGCTCACAGGCAAAGTGAAACAGGAGCCCTCTGTGTATCGTGACGGACCTCCTTACCAGCGCCGCGGCTCCCTGCAGCTCTGGCAGTTCCTGGTCACTTTACTGGACGACCCAGCCAACGGCCACTTCATAGCCTGGACCGGTCGCGGCATGGAGTTCAAACTCATCGAGCCCGAGGAGGTTAGCCGCCGCAACCGGACTCGTGTCTTATTTTTGCACACGAATATTCGAGATTTATTTTCTCTGCAGATTTTTCTAATCTGCGGCTTCTCTCTCTCGTCAGGTGGCTCGTCGCTGGGGCATCCAGAAGAACAGGCCGGCGATGAACTACGACAAACTGAGCCGCTCGCTGCGTTACTACTACGAGAAGGGCATCATGCAGAAGGTAAAGGCACGTTCACCCTTTTCTTTTCTTTTCTTTTCTCTCCCTCCACCCCCCCAGCAACAGCAGATAGTGATATTTAAATACAACCATAGGGAGGGAGGGGGTGTTATGATGTAGATTCTTATCACAGCCAGCAGCTTAATAGCGGCCGTGAATACAAGCCTGCAGGCCACATCTCTTCTTCTACTAAATATAATGGTCTATTTATGTTTGGTGTTTGCTGCCTCATATTTCAACCAGATCAAAATCAGTTTGATCAGATTGGGTCAGTCGTGGGTAATGTACTGGAATAACACAACTTAACCCTGAAGTCAAGAGCCCGCAAAGGAAATAACACGTTTACTTTACTATCAACTATGATTTTATACATTTTATGTGCATCTATAACATGTATAATTCATGCGTGTTGTTCCTCAGGTGGCCGGTGAGAGGTACGTGTACAAGTTCGTGTGCGACCCCGAGGCTCTCTTCTCCATGGCGTTCCCCGACAACCAGAGGCCCAACCTGAAGGCCGACCCGGACAGCCTGCCGGGGCTGGATGAAGACACCGTGCCCCTCACCCATTACGACGAAAGCGCTCCCTACCTGCTGGACGGCGGGGAGCAGTGCGTGGCGGGCTTGCCCTTTCCAGACGGCTACGGCTACTAAACAAGCGTGCAGGAGGGGTTTCCTGACGCCAACAAACACACGTACACACGCAAAAAAACAAAAACAAAAAACAAACACTCCCAAAAGTCTCTCGACGCCCAACTCTTTAAAAAATAATCCAGAGCTGGAACTTGCTGAGCCGCTCGGATTGGAAAACCCCGGCGCTCTGCTCCTTCATGGTTCCCTCTCCTGCTCCCTGGAAAACCTTCGTAGAACTCTGTAAGCTCCCCAGCGAAGAAGAAGAAGAAGAAGAAGAAGATGAAGAAGAAGGAGGGAAAAACCTGCGACGGCTCGTCTGCTGCACCATCACACACGAGAGAGAGAGAGAGAGAGAGAGAGAGAGAGAGAGAGAGAGAGAGGGTTGAGAAACCGGTGAGGGTGAACTGGACTCGTTAGCTCTGCCCACCTTACAAGCTTCCTAAAGTAAGGCAAGTGGGCTGCTGTTGCTATGGAGACCAAACGAAGCGAGGCCACAGCCCGCCAACTTTAACTGAACTGACAGACCCCCCCCTCCCTCCCCCACCCCCCTTGTACAAGACTGCGAGAGTTGTTACATTTCTGATTTTGTGACAATCTGCTTTTCTTAAAAACAATCAAAAATAACCAACAGAGTAAAACATTAAAAAAAAAAAAAAAAAAAAAAAAAAATCTAACCGAAGATATTCGAAATGCAGCATTATTCTATAGTTGCCTTTTTGGGTCCCCCCCCGCCCCCACACCGCACCGGCCCCCCTCCCCACAACATTTCCATGTCACCACATTTGAACTACAGAATCCGTGAAAGGGCTTTAATTTGCAAAAAAAAAAAACCAACAAAAAACGGATTTAACAAAACACACGACATATTCTGATCCCACAGATCGGCTTGTTTTCTGTAGATAGAGACTGCAACTTTTGTTTTTTGTTGTTGTTGTTGTTGTAACACGCCAGCTGTTCTACAGTTTCTGTTGAGACTTTTAGAGACCCGGACCTCTCAGGTTTCTGGGGCGTTGCTGTATTTCATGCTAGTTTTGGTCGGGCTGCTCTCTTGTGTAAATGTTCCGTTCTTTAATCGTTCTGCCCTCGTAAGAGATTGTACCCGCTTCCCTTTAGAGCCCCACAGTCTGCACAGTACACTCCTCTCACCTCTTCATCACTACTGGGTCTAATTTTTTTTTTTGGCTTTTTTTTTTGTTTTGTTTAGTTTATTTGTTTTGTTTTTTGAGATGATTAGCACTCCCACCTTCTGCGTTTCAAAAAGGGACACACACATAACATGAGAACGTATTTTCCCAGAAAGACTAAGAAGTTGTTATGTATGATAAATGGTCACATTGCTCCTGTTTGTTTGTTTGTTTGTTTGTTTGTTTGTTTGTTTGTTTGTTTGTTTTGGTTTGTTTTGTATTTCTGTCTGGGTGCGTAGCGTTTCCTTGGCAGTGTACTAGTTCCTCTGATGCACCAGTATGGCAGGAGCATCAGGACGTTGCATGCAAAAAAACAAAAAACAACAAAAAAAAACAAAACGGAAAAGAAAGGGGGGGGGGGGAGTTTTTTCCCTCCTTCTTTTCAGACACCTCTCTGCCAATCACAAGCTGTCGACAGGAGAGCTCTGCTTCTCTTTGCATGGTGTAATCAGTCAAGACTGTGTGTCCACTAACATATCGCTTTACTGTCTTTGGACAAAGAAGATATTTGTGATATTCTCTGCATTTTTTTTTTTTTTGTTTTTGTGTGTATTCATTATCTCTGTTTCTGAATGGGGGCAAAGACAAACTTATATAAAGTATATATTTTTGCTATAAGGCTGCATTTGTTTTGATTTTAATGTATAAGCTGTATAGTTCTGGCTCTAATAGACATGTACCTTTTTAAAAAAAAATCCCACTCCGTGTGATGATGCTACTACTGCAGACTGTTTCTTTAAGAGGCCTCTGTACTGGGTTGGAGAATGGATGAGGAGATGTTGTTATGATCATGCCTGTAGAAGTGTGTGCGTATGTATGTTAAGGCCAGAGTTCCAGCTAAGGTCACAGCGACGACACACATTATCATGGGATCCACCCTCACCCACCCCACCCCTCCTCCGACCTCCTACCCCCTACCCTAACCCCCCAGGCACAGGGATTGTCTGCACTTGTATAGGCTTCAGTCCACTCCCCTCACAATGTGTTTCTTACACTGCTGAGTTTATAATAATCTGTACTGGGTACAATAAACGGTCCTCTATGCTTCACTGCCTGCAGTCCTGGTGTGTTTCATCATTTTCTCTCCCCTCACTCCCCACCCCCTCACTCCTGCTCGCAGCCAGCCAGTCAGTCAGTCAGCTGACTGGCTGCTGTGGTCTGGCAGTCACTGTGCTTGACCTGGCTGATTTCTGAGTCACATGCTCCCCCTGACTCCTTCTGATGCATTTCTGGGTAAATGATTACTCTCTTTTAACTTGTGGTAAATTGTGTTTGAGCAACTCATACTCATGTGTTATTTTCTTGGCACAATAACTGGTGCTTGATTTAACTGAGCGGTTTGACAGGCAATAACGTAGTGTTTTTAATGACTAGATTTAAAGGGCCCATCCAGTGTAAAGGTCTGTGTCCATGTGTAGTGTGATTATAGATCAGCTCTAGCTTCTATATTAATACTGTGAAAGTATCAAAGCCTCAGTCCACAGAGAAATGCACACAGCCTGTATTCAGAAACTGAGCCTTAAAACCAGCCGTCAGGACTTCTGGAACTTTGTGATGTCACAACTATACAGTCACTGCGCTCAGTCAGCCATGCCCCAAGCCCTGCTCACCTGGACCCACCATCCAACCTTGCAAGATTTGGTTTCTCTGAGTGTTTAACCTGATATCTGCTATATTTTTATTGGCTCAGTCAGAAAACAGTCAGCCAATCAGAAGAGAGGCTCAGGCACCAACCTGTTGTTACTCGAGCTCCAGAGAGGAGATGTAAAACTACACTGAGATAGTTTTCGGTTCTTAAAACCACAAATATATCTTCTTATGGATCAATACTTCAAATAAAACACAGATGTGTAAAATATGGACCTTTAATTTAGACCGGGATGTTTCTGACACAAAATCAAGGCTCCATGTTTTAACTACTTCTGGAAATAAAACCACAGTTGGCTCAGTCTTTTGTCTGCTGTGAACACACACGGCACCACATTGTACGAGAACAAGGAATGAATCTACTGACTAATATTTATGGGCTAGTTACACTTTTATGTTCTCATGGACATGTGTGACTCATCAGTAAATAATTCACAGTTTGACACTAAAACCTACAGTGAGCTCCAACAGTCTGCTGCGCCGGAGGAGACGGACAGTATCTGACGCCGTTGTTTGGTGTTCGTTTGAGTTTGTAGAATTATTCATGAAGTCAAGCATTAGCCCTGACTGAGAGCACAGAGTCAGTCATAAATATTAAAATAGCCAATACATGCACTCGCCTGTACAGTGACTATAAGGTTAAAGTGTAATCTACAAGCTGGGATAACGAATGGAGGAATATGACTTTATATTCAAAGGGTTTTTGTATTGACAAAATATAAAAAGGTCATAAACGAAAGGTGTTCAACATTCTCACAGCCACAGCTTCCAGTACTGCCAGTAATAGAAGGTTATCACAACAATAAATGGCCCCTATCAGTGTTATACAACTATATTATATTATTGGGTCTATATTACTGATGCATAAACATTACAGAGGTTCTTAATGAGAAGCTAATTTTAAAAGCTTCATAAACTGTTGGGTAGTTCCATAATCTCTAACAATGCATCATATTTTATAAAAGCATCGTACATTTAAACTAGCACGTAGAGCTGTGAAATAAATATAGATGAAATGTGGATGAATCAGTTGATTAGCTCATGTAGGCGTTGCGTGCCGTATGAACGTCGTATGTGAACACTGTCTGAGTCGTGTGGTGTTTCACAACCATCTTGTGATGTTTGTTTCATTTTAACAACTCACTGAAGATTTCCGAAACATCTGAAGTGCTTCCCTGGGGCTGGTGTCTTTTCACAGCGTCTGGCTCGTAATGTCACTGGGGTGTTAAGTTCGTGTGGAGCTGAAATTCGTAGCATGATGGAATGATCTGATGTGTGATAAAAAAAAAAAAAAAAACGTGAGGCTTTAGACTGTAGGCTTTTTTGTTTGGATGGCCGGCAGCGCTCTGCCTGGTGTTGAGTCACAGCCTTATCAAACCACAGAGTGTAAAAAGCCAAGCACTGGTCTCCAGTAACACAGCCTGGCAGGCAACTTTCCATTGATTGAGAGAGCAGAGTGCCTTTGAATGCTATGAAAGGCCTTTTAGTGCGCTCATGGGAGGTGCCCTGCCCTGATATTGTGTGTGAGAGAGAGAGAGAGAGAGAGAGTATAGCTGCTTCCAGCATTCATAACAATTTTTTACTCCGAGCTGCTCTTTGTGTTTTCCTCTTACACTGAAAGCCGTTGGTGGAGGTGTATGGGTGCACTTCATATTGACTTCTATGAATCGTGTCACTCATGTTGGATAATATCAGTGCAACACATTCAAGCGTTTTATGCCCCTTCATCCACTGCTCACAAACCCTCTGAAAACCATCCCTGGTAATTTATTGAGCAGCGTCTGATGAATAAACAGTGAAAAGTGCATATTATCCCAAAAAATGAAAATATGAACGTTCACACTTAAGCTGTGAATCCTCTACTAGATTGAACAACAAATCACTGTCACAAACACTGACCATCCAAACGCTAGCTTGACTAGTTAAAGTTCGCTAACTAGCTTTACCAGCTTTTTCCAGAGTAAAAGGATTTGTCATTAAGGTTTTTTTTCTATTGTTATATGTCCAGTGTCTCTGTATTGTCACATCCTATCAGGTTTTAGAGCAGTCCCAGTTTTGAGCCTACAGCCATGCTAGCTACAGCTAGCTCTGTAAGGCTGTGCTAAACGCTAACATGCTCACAATAGCAATGCTAACATACATCAAAATATGTACAGTCACTTAGTTTTTTGCGTGGTCTATTCTGTGTGTGTTTTAAATTGCCCCCTGGGAACAAATAAAGTTTCTTGAATTTAAATTAATAATGTTTAGCAGGTTTAGT